CCTCCCACCCCCGCGGAGGAGGGCCAGAGCTAGGGCTTGGCGGGGGCAAACGAGCTCCCGCCACGCAGCCCCCGCTCCCGGTGGCCTTCGGGCCCATGTAACCCGGGCCTCCGGCGGCCGATCCCGGGATGCTTCTGGCGGCCCCTGGGGCGCTCTCGATGAGGCGCAGCCGATAGAGGCCACCCTTTTGCGAGGCGGGGATTTGCCCCGAAGAGGCGCAGCCGATGGAGGCCACCTTTTTGCGAGGCGGGGATTTGTCCATATCCACCGCGTGGGAACCGACGTCCTGGTGCCCCAGCGGGCGGTGGATATGGATCTATTTCGGCCCCCGGGGGCCCGAATATGTCCGTGTCCACCGCCTGCCGAGGCTCCGAAAACTGACCCTCCAGGCGGTGGTCATATATAAATTCCTGCCTCCGGCTTTTTGCGTCGGCAACGAGGCAAGGGTCGTCTGTGCCAGCGGAAAAAAAGCCTAAACGGGGGTGCCGTTCGAGCGACTCGTGCCACCACGCGCGAGGAGGAGCCAAGTCGGGCCCCGAAAACACTTGAAAACTCAAAAACGCTTCCCCTGAGCAGCCCTCCCGCCCGCGCGGCCCTCCCCCGCCCGGGCGGCGTCACGACGCCGCCGCGGCGCCACGCCGCCGCCGCGACGGCCAGACGACCGTGCGTGCCGTGGCGCCGGGTCTGCGCGCGCACGCGCGTTGGGCCCCTGGCTGAGGCCCATGGCGACGTACTCGCCCGCGACCTCGAGCAGCTCCGCGGGGGCGGCCTCCAGGTCGGCCAGGGCCGGGAGCAGCTCCTCGGATAAGGGCTGAGGTTTGAGGCTTGCGGGCGTTTTCGGTCTTTCTCGCAGTCTTTCCAACCTCGAGATGCATTGCAGCGGCTGCGCCTCGCTGAGAGCGTTCTGGGGGTTCCCGGATCGCGTCGATCGGCCTCCGGAGGCCGAATTGTGACCCGGAAGCCGGCTTCCGGGTGACTGCGGGCAAAAGCTCCGCATCGAGGTGTGAAGAATTCGCCAGGGTGAGGAGAATTCGTCGCGGTGTGAAGAATTCGCGGGGGCGGGCCCCAGGAGGGGGGTTTGAACCGATTCTGCGCGGAGTTGGGTCGGGAGAAGGAGGAGGAGGAGGAGGAGGAGGAGGAGGAGGAGAAGGAGGAGGAGGAGTAGGAGGAGGAGGAGGAGGATACGATGATTGAAGATATGATAGGACACGGTATTAGAAAACAAAAACAAGACCACATACTATACGAAACGACAAGACACGACACGATACTGTAATAGCATATCCGATGGGACCAGATTACACCGGATGTAAAATGGCAACGTAAGATGCTAGATGATGAGATAATATGAGACCGTATACGGAAACATAAGATACATTCGATAGCATAGGGCACTACGACATACAATACTTCACATACAATACTCCACCTCCTTCCCCCCTCCAACTTATGGTGGTGGTGGTGGAAAGCAGGCCCATCAATGGGCCCCCGTCGTCCCTCGAGCGCCCCGAGGAGCTCGCCTGCTGGGGGCCGCGGCAGACCAGGGGGCGAAGGGTTCGCGCACGATAAGGCGGGGACGGAGACGGGCGGCCGGGAGCAACTCCTCGGAGGGACGGAGGGGACGCACAGAGACATACCAACACTGCGTGTCCTCCTCGGAGGCGCGCGTCCGACCCGAACATACAATACACCCAGCTTGTGGTACACATCGTTTCCCGTGCCGCGTGGCCACAAAGCGCCCGCCACGACGCACATGCTAGAAGATTTCTCGGCGCGCGCGTCGCCCCCGGGGGGGCGACGCACATATAGTATGTGTATGTTGGGGTGACGCCGAACGGAAGGAAGGGGGGGGGTCCCAGATTCGGGGGGCTGGGCTGCCCCGAGACGCAACACGCAGGACGCAGCGTATCGATGCGGAGCTCAGCGCGCAGGCTGGACATGTAGGTCTGACGCGAGGCGTTCGCCGAAACGTGGGCTAATACGCTGAGCCAACACGCAACGCATTGACACATACATTTTAAGCGCGGCACGTGCTGCGTTTCAAAACGGGCGTACCGAGGCAACTCAGTCGGGGAGACGAAAGACCCGAATTCGGGCGACTCGGGTTGGCCTGACAAGGCCATCATGAAAAAATGGCGAGACCCAGTCCGAAATTTGACGCGAGCTCCCGCTACAGACGTCCCACGAAAACTGGACTGTCAAGATCTGGGACGGCTTCGTCAAGAAGCGTCGGCTAAACCGAGTTCCGTCAAACTCGAGTCTGTCGTTTCCCCGAACGATAGGGTGCGAATCGATCAGATCTGAGGATTGCACCGCATCGGCAATGCATCGGCGATGCGTCGGCGATGCGGCGCGATCCTCCAGCCCCATCTGCTTCGACCCCATCTGGGAGGCCTAGAGGCAAAGATGGATGTTCTATACTTTCGACTCATGCGGGCAGGTCTGCTTGCACGGCATGTTGCGTCCCACTTCAAACAGCGCTGGGCCGAAAAGGCGTGCAAGTGAGACCCAGCCTACGTAAAATCAACCGTTCCTAGCTCCAGACTCCGGCAAGTGTACTTGCGGTGTGTGTGTGTGTGTGTGTGTGTGTGTGTGTGTGTGTGTGTGTGTGTGTGTGTGTGTTGGAACGCCATGAGAGGACGGCAGGGGACCCCGTGGGGCCTACCCGCCGACTCGGCCAGTTGGCAACGTGTCCCCGCGTCACCGTGCGACACCGCTTGGGCGCCAGGGCCACTCAGCACTTGGGCCGAATGGCAGGCCACAGGGGCCTCCCGAAACGTCTAGGATGGATAACTCCCAGGCGCGTTGGCCGCGGGGGCCAACGCGGGCAGCTTAGGCCCCAAGCCCTACGCAAACACAGCTGCCAGCCCAGGCGACGGGGCCCCAGGACCACCCCAACCACACGGGCCGCCCAGACCGAGCAGGACCAGAGGGACCCCGCCCCAGGGCCCCTAGAGGCCGCGAGGGGCACCGCTCAGGCTGGCACCCGTGCAGGGGTGCAACCCTGCCAGGAGGCGATCGCGTCGTCGGCGCCGCTCTCTCTCTCTCTCTCTCGGCAGGGTCGCACTCCCTGAGCGGGGGGAGAGCTTCAGTGCAATCGTTCTGGAGCCGCCTGGCCCCGCGTGACACGTAGGCCCCGCAGTGACGGCAGACCACGAACGTCGAACACGTGACAAGCTCGTGGCCAAGGTCCTGCACGCACGCGGGCGGACCACCCGCGCCGGCGGGGCCGCTCGCACTCTCTCCCAACCCGACGCCCGCTCCACCCGACGATCCACCCGACGACGACGACCCCCCCTCCCCGCGGGCTAGAGCAGCGGCAGGAGGAGCAGGTGGCCGGGAGGGGGGCCTTGCCCCCTCGGACGCCGCGCCACCGCTCGTGTCCAAGGCAGGTCGCGCGGCGGGGCGGCTCACCGTGGCCCCGCACTCGGCCATCCGGCCACGAGACCTCGCGCTCGGCTTCTGCTGGCCGTGGCCTTCGGCGTCGCCGGGCACGTGCACCTGCGAGGCAGCGCCACGGGGCGCCGCCGCCTCCGCCGGACCAGCAGGGCGAGCATCCCCCCCAGCTGAGGCAGCCGAAGGCGCGGGTGCCTCCGCACCTCGGGCGCGCTCCTCGAGCCTCTCCTTCATCGGGCCAAGCGCCGCCAAGATCGGGCCAGCGCGCGGCGGCCGCGGAGCCCGCTTGGGGCGCTTGGGCGCCGGGCGGAGCGCGTCAGCGCAGTCGGCGGCCTGCTCCCCGCCGTCGTGCGCCGCGAGGGCATCGGGGGGGGTCGCCTCCTCTCCTGCGCCAGGCGCCGCGTCCAGCTGCGGGTCCGCCTCGGCGCCCTCGGTCCCACAGGTCGCGGCTGCGGCCGAGAGCGCCCCCACCACGAGGGCCCTCACGAAGTGCGAGACCGCAGCCCCCTGCGCCGGGCTGGGAGCGGACGGCACGCCCGCGTCCCCTGCGTCAGGTTCTCCATCATCGGCGGGCGGCAGCGCCGATGGGCCAGCGTCGGGGTGCGGCCCGGCGTCGAGCTCGCGAGCCGGTGAGCGGGACCGACCACGCCCCTGCCCTTCGCGCGCAGCACGGCCAGGCACGGGGCCCTGACCAGCCGGCTGAGAGGGGCCAGCCTCGGGGTGCGGCGCGAAGTCATCATCCTCGGGTTCCGAGCCGCGGCCGCCCGCTGGGCCATCATCGCGCGGCCTGCCACGGCGGTCCGCCAGCCTCTGCCACCGCTCCACCAGCGGGTCCACCAGCCAGCGGCGCGGCAGCGGCGCCGGCGCCCGATCCAGGCCAGAATCTCCAGCGGCCGCGGACTGCGGCGCGGGCGGCGCGGGCGCCCGCTCCAGGCCAAAATCTCCACCGGCCGCGGGCCGTGGCGTCAACGCGCCGGCGGCCCGCACGGCGGGGGCGGTAGCGCGTGCGGCGTGGAGGAGATAATCCACCTTGGCCTGGAGGCTGGCGTCTCGCTGGCTCCCGTAGGCCACGCTGGCGTCGGCGCAACAGGTGGCCGGGGGGGGCACCGCCGGCGAAGTGCCTGCTGCTGTGGGCGCGGCCCCGAGGACGGAGAGCGCCCGCTCGTGGCCCAGGGTGGTCGGCGCGCACGCGGACCCCGCCAACGCCCGTTGGGCGTCTTCGGTGTAGGCCGTGCGCCCGCAGGCAAGGCAGACAAGGCCTTGGCGGTCCTGGGACCGAGGGTGGGGGCACCAGTGCAAGTCGTGCTGGATGATGGTCAGCTTGGGCGGGGCCGGGGGCGGCCTGGGCATCGCCGCCTCATTCGAGTCCCAGAGGCCCGATGAGTACACCTGCGCGGAGGCCCACACGTGAAACTCCACGACGCTGAGAACGCGCTGGAGCCTGAGCTCGAGGTTCCGCGCGAGCCCTGGCGCCAGCCGGGCCTGCCACATGGCCACCGACGCGAACCAGTCTGCCCAAGCATTGCCGATCCAGTCTATGAGCGGCACTCCACGGTGGAGCGCCTCCTCGGCTGTGAGGTGAGAGGGGGCCCAGCGAAAGGCGGGCGCCGCGGCGTCGGCGCGCCGCGCAATGGCGCTGCGCAGCCGTCGCCAAAGCCGCGCATGGGTGCCGCGCGAGGATGCGTCCCTGGCGCTCCAGCGCAGACCCTCGGTCACGAACGAGAGGTGGTCGGAGACCAGGCAGTCGACGCCGTCCCCCGCCTCGAAGGCCATGGCGCCGCCGTAGCGCTCAGCCCGCGCCGCGGTCTGGATGCTCCCGGGGAGCGCACCAGAGAGAGCTCGCAACGGGATGCCCATGTCGCTGATCTGGACGGCCGACCACGTGCACTGCGTGAGCTCGGGGACGTCGGCCGCGTGCCCGGACCCGTCGGCGTACACGGTGCCGCGCCAAGGCCCCGCATGATCGCCCCACCGAATCACGGGCGGGCAGGGGGGCTCGGGGAGCTCTGCCAGGGTGGGCATGCACGGGAGCCCATAGACATTCGACAGCGAGTCCAAGCTGGCACCGCCGAAGCCCGCGGCGCACTCCTGGATGATGGCCTCCCGCGCCGCGAGAGCGCGCTCGCGTCGCTCGGGCGCCTGCTCGTCTGGGGCGGCCAGCAGCGGCGCGCAGGCAAACCACGCGCCAGGAGGAGGAGGAGGAGGAGGAGGAGGAGGAGGAGGAGGAGGAGGACGACGAGGAGGAGGACGAGGAGGAGAATGGAGGAGGACGGGGGGGAGGAGGAGGAGGAGGCGCGGGCTGGGGGCCGCACGGGCGGCCACCAGAGAGAGAGAGAGAGGAGAGATAAGGGGGGCGGGGGGGGGGGAGGGCTGCCAGGCCCCCCGCGACTCGACGTCGCGAAAGAGAGTCACGCACACGTGGGAAGCCCCACCTGGCCCCCCTCACCAAAGAGGAGGAGGAGGGGGCGTTGGAACCTGGGACGCGGTCAGCGTGTCGCGCCGCAGCGAGACGCTGCGCAAAAGCGCGCCTGACCGTATACACCCCGCCTGGGGAACCGGCGCCCAAGGACCCCAGGGGGCAGCGGATATAGGGCACGAGGGGGAGGAGGATGAGGAGGAGGAGGAGGAGGAGGAGGAGGAGAGGACACCACTGTGCGCCGCCTCCCGGGGTCCAGAAAGATCGGATCCCAAGGCGGCGGATCTGTATAGACCCCTGTCTCGGATCGATCGGTCGTAGTGTTCAAACAAATCCCGCTCCGACAAGCTCATCATGTCAAACGCGTCGACAGCGCCGTCGACCGCACTCTTGTCCCCGATGTAGACGTCGCGCTTCAGCGACTTCCCTGGCCCTCGGTGGCAGCTCTGCGATATGCCGTCCTGCTGGCAATCGCGTGCTTTGACCCTCTCCGCGCCGTCTCCTCTTCGTCCCCGACCCTCCCCAACTGCTCCACATCCTGCTCTTCCCTCCCCATCTCCACCCACTGATCGCCCCCGGCCCCCTCGGCCGCCCTGGGCTGAGCGGGTGCGTGGGCAGGAAGAGGACGACGACCACCACCACGGCGACAGAAAGGACTTGAGAGCGCCCGAAACCCATACCCTTGGCGACTTGACACACAACACAAACAAGTATCAGAGGAATTCGCCATTTTCGGCATCTGGGGGTCGCTCCCAGGCGACATGGCGCTGAAAAACGATTCTGGACGAACGAAAAGCTCAGGAAAGTGGCCGGGAGACCTCCAGGGGGGCAGCGACTCGAAAGAACGAGCAAAGTCTGGAAAGTCGCTCATCGCAGCGTGCTGTGCACCACAATCGATGGCAGAAAATACAACCCCATAATAATGAACCCGAGAAGTGAAGCCGTTCAGTAAACACACCTAGGGGAAGCATCGAACAGGGCAAGGCTGTTTAGTAAACGCCCAGGACAGTTTAATAGACGCCAATTGTCAGGGCCTGGGTGGTTAATCCTCCCTTGACGCGAGAGCGGCAGAGCGCTCCGTGCCCGTTGCCGTCGCTCGGACGTCCATTTCCCGTGCATTGTTCGGTTTCGTGCGTGTTTTTTTTGCTCGATGGTCCAGGATGCTCCTCGACGGTCCTCGCCGAGAAAAAACACACACGTCCGAGCGATGCCAAGTTTCTGGAGGTGTCTCGCCCACCCGCCCCCTCGAGCCGGCTCCATGTGCCCAAACCGGCCTGGCCCCGACGGGGGGGGCTGGGCTCATCTACCCTTCGGTCGGGCATGCCCTCCTACAGGCGGATTTTCAAAGGCAAATGAAACATAGTCCAAACACGCTTGGAAAGAATCGAAAAATAATCGAACAATCGTCCCCTGACTATTTTTAAACTATGTTTAAATATTCCTCCTGTAGAGGGACAACCCTCATTCAAATCCACCCCCATGGGGGGAACCTATCCTATCGTGCCGCCGATCTCTCTCGACGGGAGGCCCTTGAAGCAGATGCCGCCCCCCCCCCACACACACACATCGTCCCTCAGCTGTGGACGGAAGAAGAACGGTGACCATGACCAAGACTGAACGCGGGCGGATCTGTCGGTGTCGATAATTACTGGTCATCGTCCATCTTGGCCGTCCTCGATTCACGGACCGCCCTCGCGGATCGGCGACGGCCGGCATGCGCCATGACCAAGGAAGGCGTCGACAAGATCCCGCGACATCTTTCGGGCAGACGTGAGACTCGGGTACGGAGGACTCGGGTTGGCCCGACGGGGGCTGTCACAAGAAAACGACGAGACCCAATCTGAAATCCGACGCAAACCCCCGCTGCAGACATCCCACGAAACGGGAACGTCAAAACCCCTGACGCGCTCGTCAAAAAAAAGAGTGGACAAACCCGAGTTCCGGCTTACTCGAGTCTTCCGTTTCCCCGAATCTTCGTCGTGGTATTTTTTTTCGAAAGAAAAACAAAAATCTTCGTCGTGGTAATCGTGTTTCCTCTGGGTCGGCAGTGTGCCCCTGCGGGCGGATTCCTAGGGACAAATATATATATATATATATATATATATATATATATATATATAAAGATACCTTCGGAACATGCCCCAAAAAATACGCCAAAAATGGTCCCCCGACTGTTTCGTGCCTATTTTTTGAAGACTCTCCCTGCAGAGGGACAGGCCCGACTTCATGCCTCCTTCCTCGAAGGCCGTGGCTCGTCGGCCGCCTGCAGCGCAGCGCCGGCGCGGCGGGCCGCGCGGCACGGCAGGGAGAGCGCGCGCGGGCGAGGGCAGCGCGGCGCGGGCGAGGGCGAGCAGGGGCAGAGGCACCCCTACTGTCAGGTCGGGCATGTCCCCCTACAGGGGGGTTTTGGGCGAAAAATAGGAAATACTCCAAACATGCCTCCAAAGAGTCACAACTCATCAAAGATCGCCTTCCAATCATTCTTTGACTGGCCTTGAACATTCCTCCTGTAGAGGGACAGGCCCGACTTGACCCTACTGGGGCCCCAACGGATGGGGTCGGAGGCTCGCGCCGCATCGCCGATGCCTCGTTGATGCATCGGCGATGCCGGCGACGCATATCGGGTCGGGCGAAATGGGGGGATAGCAAAGGGGGGGTTTGAGAATCAACTCGCGTAGCTGATTTTCCCGGCGCCTCCCGGCGCCGGAGGCGGCCATGTATCGAGGAATGGGCCCCTCGGTGAGGCCGAAACCAGCTGCATGCAGCAAATTTCGTAACCCCCCCTTTCCCAATCCCCCCCTTTCGTCCGGCCCGAGACGCATAGGCGGCGTCGCCGTCGGCGCAGAGAACCTCGGGCACCACAGCGCGCCGCATCGCCCGCGCATCGGCGATGCGGGGCGCTCCTCCGGCCCCGGCTGCTCGGACCCCATCCGGGAGGCACGGGGGGAGCGACAGGTGACTACCTACCAGACCACCCCAACCCAACCCGAAGACCCGAATTTCGGGTTGGGGGGGGTAAGGGTTCCACGCGTGTTTTTTCAATGTTTCCCGACCCCCCCCCCACTAGAAATCGAGGGTAAATCTGAGCCTTCGGGTTGGGTTGGGGTGGCTTGGTGGGTGGTGAACAGGGGCGGCGCGTGCTCGTGAGGGGCGTCGCGGGCGAGCGGGGGCCGGCAGGATTGCTGCTCTTCTGCTTTAGGCCATGGGGGGGAGGGGTCGGAGGGATCCGCTCCTTGGTGGTGCCCCGTTTGGGGGGCAGCCTGCATCTCTTCTGCAGAGCCTCGTGGTCATCGCCATGCAGCGGGCACGGCACTCGGGCATCCTCAGGGGGGGGGAGCAGTGTGCTATCACGGGCCCGTTCGCGTCCAGATTGTCGGGGCCTCTAGAGTAGAATGGGAGGGGCAGGCGCGTTTCTCTTCAGAGACCCCGTTACCATGGCGATGCAGCAGGCGTGGAGGTTGGGCCTCCAAGAGCCGCGCCCATCCTCACTCATGACTCGCTCACGCTCAGCTGCTCGTACTGCTCACGCTCAAACCCGTTCCTGCTCAGACGCACAGGAAGGAAAGCGCTCCCGCGTCGAAGCAGCTCTGGACCTCACGCTCCTCCTCCTCCTCCTCCTCCTCCTCCTCCTCCTCCTCCTCCCTCCTCCTCCTCCTCCCTCCCTCCCTCCCTCCCTCCCTCCCTCCCTCCCTCCCTCCCCCTCCCTCCCTCCCTCCCTCCTCCCTCCCTCCTCCCCTCCCTCCCTCCTCCTCTTCCTCCTCCTCCTCCTCCTCATCGGGCTCGGGCTCGGGCCGTGGTAACGTCAGGAACCGCACTGGGCGCTCGCCCCTCGTGCTCTCCCTCTCGGGGCCACCTCGGCACGAGTGCCTCTTCGGCGGGGCCTGCGGAGACGCAGACCGGCAGCTGTCGGGGCGGGCACGGCGCAGTCGGGGCGCTGAAGGAGGAACCCTTTTCGCTGGGGAGGGGCTCGGTGTTCCTTGATTGCTTTATTGTCTGCCTTGGGTTTTCCTCTGCTTTTCCATCGGGAATCGAAATTTAACTTATGGAAAAAAGGGCCTCGTTCCTTGTTTAGGGTTCCTTAGGTCAACGCCCCGACTGTATCCGCGCCAGGGTAATTTTGCAGCGTCGGATCTCAGGGTGGAGCGTCAAAGGAGAAGCATGTATGGCGTCAGCCTGCGACCCGCAGGAGGAGCAGGACGAAATGGGTAGTGGGGGCGTCGGGGAACCTTACCGTGGGGCGCTCCTCTATGCCCTTGCTGGCTTCTCCGCTTTCCCGCCTTGCTTTGCCCTTCCAGTTCCTGCTGTGCACGCGCTGCCTGTACGTACACCGTATCCGCGCGTGTGCTCTCGCTTTTGATCAGCGCGAGCGTTCAGACGCGGCGATCGCTTTGATCCACGTCGGTATAACATTCACAGGGGGGTGACGAGGACTGGGATCGGCGGCGAGCCCAGGGGCTAATTAAGTGAGAGGGGGCAGGCCTTCTCGGAAGGCGGCCGGGCTTCTCAGCAGCCCTCCATTCTGAGAAGCCGACTCTGCCTTCGGAGAAGGCGTACCCTGAGATCCGACGTTGCAAGAAACATGCAACATCGCAGAAAATCACCACCGGAGCCCCGGACACTTGATCTTTCTGCGTCATCTTTCGAGCCGGATCGATCTGTGAGGGTCCCAGGGCCCGAAATGGAGCGAAAACGCCCGTTGTGAAAAAATGCATCGCCTGGATCTCAGGTGTGGTATAGCCTTGACAAAACTCGCGCGGTCTCTACGGTAGGGGCATTGGATAAGGAGCCCTGGAAGCCAGGGTCTGGAGGCCAGAGGAACTCCAATCGAAGCTTTGCCATGGACGTCACCGCCGCCCTCATCAGGCAAGGAATCTCTTAACCAACGCCCCCACCGTGTAGCAGTGATAGGGCTCGCGCGGTCTCTAGTCTCTCGGGGAGCGAAGAATGACATAAGCAAAACAACTCGGAGGTCCGCGTGGAGGCGCCACCAGGGGGGTCCGGCGCGGATCCGAGAGATCCGCGCGGACCTCCGAGTTGGTATGGTTGTGTCACTCGTCGTTCCCCTATTCTCGGAGCCGGCTGGCACGCGGCAGTTCACACAGCTCATCAGCAGCTGGCAGCCTCCGGCAAGGCTTTTTCCCACGACATGCTGCCGCTTCGCAGGCTTAGGTCGGGCATGTCCTCCCAGAGGCGGGAGGAAAAGTGAAACATAGCACAACATGCCAAAAACACTAATCAAGAATAATCAGAGAGTCGTCCCCGCACTATTTTTTGACCACTTGTGAATTTTCCTCCTGCAGTGAGCGAGCAACGACATGTGTACATGTACGCCCTCCGCGGTCTTGCGTGCACGAACCTCCACGTTCAAACGCAATTCGACGAAAACGAACCGCGTACATGTACATATGTTGTTGCCCTCTGATGTAGAGGGACACGCCCGACTTAATCGCAGGCTCTCGGCAGCAGCGCACCGCCCCTGCGCCAGGCGGGGTGCCTGCGGCCGACTGAGCCCGTCGTGCACGGGGCGCGCGGCTGCGGCAGGTTCGCGTCGTGACGACCCTGGCGCTGGTTTCTGACACCGCCTCGACCGCTCAACCTCGAACGATCGGCGGCTTTCCGATCGCCCGATCGTTCCGTGTCAGCCGATTCTGGGCCACTGGCGGTATTCAACCTTGAACGCCCGCGCTGGGGTCGCCGCCGGTCGACACGGCGCGAACCTACCGAATTGAGCCGGCCAGGTTCGCACCGCCGCCGCCGGTCGCCCCTCATTTGTTTGCAGCGCCCTGTGGAGGCCTTCGACCCGCTCGGCAGCATCGATGATGAATTCCCCCCCAGTCTTCGGCTAAACGCAAGAGTGACCCTGGGCAGGAATGACCTTTGGTGCGCGGCTTGACGGGGGACGCGGGGTGGTCAAACCTGGGCGCGCAAGCCGCTGCTACCGCTTCGCGTTCGGCGATCGGGGGGCCCCATTGAGCCCACATCAAAGGTCACTACAGCGAAATACCACTCTTACGTCTAGTCGATTTTCTCCTTGCCCTCTCCTCCCCCTCCCCTCGGCGGGGAGAAAGGATGAATGACCCCTCAGCACACTCGCGGTGCGCCGGCCACGCCCCTGAGCGGGCACCGAGGCACCGCGAAGCCTGGACCCTGGCGCCACTTGGCGGGAGCGGAAGAGGCGGCAGCGGCGCCAGGCGGCAGGCCCAGTACAAGACGACAACGACGACGAAGACGATGACGACGACGACGACGTCGACGAGGCATGGAGTCCTTCAGAAGCCCACAGGAGTGTTCCACGATGGCGTCGGTGAGCTCCTGGTCGCGGACGCCCGCCTCGGAGGGGGGGCAGAGCTAGCATGCCGCCAGGCCTTGTGCAAGGCGGCCGTGGGGACAGCAGTGCCTTGGGTCGAGATGGCGCGGGGTGTGCGAGGCCGCCGCCCGAAGACCAGAAAACGCTCCAGCGAAAGGCCACTCGTGGAAGAAAGAACAACACACACACTCGAACCTAGAGGGAGGAGGAATGAGGAAAGGCAAGGCGCTGAAGCCGCTGAAAGAATATAGGTGCGAGCTGCCTGACCGCGCGGGGTGTTCCCATTCGAGCGGGGTCCGATCTCGCAGAGACCGGGGAGGGAGAGCGGATGTGTCGCCGTGCCGCTTGTTCTCCATGCGGCCGGGTTGACTACGCCGACACCACAGCAAACCCACGGCAAACGCTGCGTCCCGCGCCCCTCAAGGAGACGCAGCCAAAACACCGCGGCAAACCCCACGGCAAACCCCACGGCAAATCCGCCGCGTCCGAGGTGGCGCTTGCCCTGGTGCCCGCGGCGCCCTCCTCGAGACGGAGAGCCGCGCGTCGGAACAAACGGCGCGGCGACATATCTCGGCTTCCGGAGAACCTGGACCCAAAAAGGTTGTCATCCGTTGGGAGGCCGACTCTTGCTCCCGCCGGCTTCCACCAGCTTCAGCGGGCGGGGCCGCCCTCGTGATACTTCCGCCGCCTTCCGCCCAGGAAAAGCTGGCGACCCCTTCGACTCTCGAAAGCGAGGCCCTTTCTGGAACGCCCCATATGGGCATGCTTGGACCCAGTCAGGCCCGAGGGTATCCAACCGCCTCCTGTCGGCGGCGAGCGAGGGGGGGAAGTGAGAAGGGGCGCGCCTTCTCAGAAGGTCTCGACCCCCCCGTGGTTTCTGACAAGTTTTCGGAGCCTTCCCGAAGCCACGGAACACTTCTCAGAAGGCCCGCCGCCTTCTGAGACGCCACGCAGCCTTCTGGGAAGGGCTTCTCCTTCTCCCCTCCCCCCCTCGCTCGCCGCCGAGTGGGAGGAGCAGGGAACAGGAAGGAGGTGGGGGGGGGATGGGGGAGGCCAGGAGGAAGAGGTGGAGGAGGAGGAGGAGCAGGGAAGGATCGGGGCGGGAGCAGGCAGGATGGGGGGCCCTGCGAGCGCATCGATGCCCCAGGCGGTGGGCACACTGCGCGCGGGCACACCGTGCTCGACGCCGGCGTGTTTTTTTTTTTGCTGCTCGCCTGGGCACCACGAGGGCCAGGGGCCCCGGCGGGGCCCCAGAAGCGACCCTCGGGGGCGAGCGAGGGGGGGAGGCGAGAAGGAGGAGGCCCTCTCAGATCGGGGGCGCCCTGAGGTCCTGGCGATGCAGTTTCTTCACGAACGGCGTCTGCGCTCCATTTCGGGCCCTGGGGCCCTCACAGATCGATCCGGCTCGGAAAATGGCGCAGAAAGATGGGGTCCGGGGCTCTGGTCGTGATTGTTTACGATGTCGGAATGTTTTGCAACGCCAGATCCCAGGGTCACAAATCCGGACGTACTGACCCTGGTCAATGCAAGCCCAGGTAACTCAGGCCTTGCAGGATCCTGCACGCAAGCCCGGGTCAGTGCAACCCTGGATCTGCAGGATCCTGCAAGATCTGGTGCTCTGGCTGACCTTCGTTTGCATTGGCCCCCGCCCCTTGAGCCACGACCATAAAGCGACGGGGCGTCTCAGAAGCCCTCCGGCCTTCTGTAAGGTTTTCTGTGTCTTCGGGGAAGGCTCAGAAAACTTCTCAGCTCAGTAAGACTCGGATTCGGGGGACTCGGGTTGGCCTGGCGAGGCCGTCCAGAAAATGACGAGACCCACTATGAAGTCTGACGCGAGCTCCCGCTGCAAACATCCCGCGAAAACCAGACCGTCAAAATCCAGGGCGGGCTCATCAGAAAGCGTCGGCATGCCCGAATTCCGGCGGCCGCAGCCGCAGCCGCGCAGCCGCAGCCGCTGCCGCCACAGTCGCTGCAGCCGCAGCCGCAGCCAGCCGCTGCAGCCACCGATAATTTTGTCGGGCCCCAGCGGGGGCTCACCTCGGCCGTCGTGGCGTTTGCGGGCATGCCTTTGCGCGGTGCCAGCGTTACACCGACGGGTTTTGCGGACGCAGCCGTGTTGCTAGAGCGTCCCGCTGCAGGGGTCGTTCGGCCGCTCGCGCCACGGCGCCCAGCTCCGCAAAGGAAAACGCTTTGGCATGCAAAACACCGACCTCCGCCCATCCGAGAGGCTTCCTGCGTCTTCGGGGGGGGCTCCGAAAACATCTCAGCCCAGTAAGACTCGGATTTCGGGGGACTGGGCGCGCCGCCGATGACCGAACTCGGCGTGTTCCCCTGAGCCGCCGACCAATGATGGGCACATTTCCCACCACTACTACCATGGGTAGATGCGGGAGGAGGGGAAGGAGGAGGAGGAGGAGGAGGAGGAGGAGGAGGAGGAGGACGACGACCTCCTCATCCTCCCTTCTCCCCTGTCCTCCATATGGTAATGGATAGTAGTCGAAAATTTGCCCATCAGACCGAGGCACCCCCAGCCGCGACTCCAAGCGGTCGAAGTCTCGGCCAGCACCCGTGTGTTGCAGCTCCGGCCTCGGAGGGCGTGGCGCTGGGGAAACCACAAGGCATCGATGCCCGCTGGCCCCGGACCTCCCCACGGGTGCGCCATGACCAGAATCTCGAGGCGAATCCAACCGTGGCGACGGGAGCCTCCAGGAGGCCCAGAGAGGGGGACAACGAGGAGAGTGTTCGATGAGGGGGTCGACCGCAGAACTGGTGTACCCAAACTTGACTTGCCCGTGGAATCTACATGAGATGCGTAGAAATTTCTGCAGATCTACAAACGTTGCGCGCAATTGTTCCAGCTCCAACCAAAAATTCGATTCGGGGGCACATCAATTCTGTCGTCGATACCCTACTCGAAAGTGAGCGTTTTCCTATTCGGCGTTCCGACATTGGGCGGCAGGGGGAGGGATAGAGGGGGGGGTCTGGCTCCAGACCTCTGCTTGATGCGACTGTTTGCAACAGGTGCGTCCTATGGGGGAGATCCAACCTGCTTGAAACAGGCGCCAAACACAGCCAAGATCTACTCCATGGGGGGTGAGCGGGGGTTGCGAGGGCCCGCGCCGATCGGCAAAACGATGAATAAGGAAACGATCACCATCATAATGACTGTAATGATGACGATGCTGATGATAAGGATGATGATAATGATGATGTTGACCATGCTGATGATGATCACGATGGTGGAACTGATGACGATGATGATAAGGATGATGCTGATGGTGATGATGATGATGATGATCCTGAATATGATGATGATTATGATGATGATGATGATGATGACGACGATGATGATGATGATGATGATGCTGATGATGACGATGATGATGATGCTGATGATAGTGGTGGTGGTGGTGATGGTGATGATAATGATGATGCTGGTGGTGATGATGATGAGGGTGATGATGATGCTGATAGTGGTGATGGGGATGATGGTGGTGATGCTGCTGATGCTGATGCTGATATTGATGATGATGATGATGATGATGATGATGATGATGATGATGATGATGCTGCTGCTGATGATGCTGCTGCTGACGATGCAGATGATGATGTGTTCTTCCAGTGCGCTCGGCTGCACGAGCGGGTGACAGATCAGGTTATTCTCGGGTGGCACTCGCCTGGGCCGCTCAGCCCGCCTGGGCCAGTGCACACCCGGGTCAGCCAAGGATCCCGGCAGGATCCTGCAGGGTCCTGCGCGATGCTGCGCCCCATGCCCAGATCAATGCGACCCTGGCCCTGCAGGATCCTGCAGGATCGGGCGCCCTGGCTGAGCCCCGTTTGCATTGATGCATTGACCCCCGTCTCTGAGGACCCCCCCCCCCGGGAGTGCTCGGTGATGGGTAGCTGTTCCACCGCCACTACCATATGTAGGACGGGGGAGAAGGGAGGGTAAGGAGGTCCTCCTCCTCCTCCTCCTCCTCCTCCTCCTCCTCCTCCTCCTCCTCCTCCTCCTCCTCCCCCTCCTTCTCCTCCTTCCTGTGGTAAAAATGGTGGAAAATAGGCCCATCATTCTGGGTGACCAGGCTGCCGCGGCACGGCTCAGAGGCAGGGCCGGGTGGGCGCTGCTCCTGGGGAAGCGGCAGCCTCAAGGGGGCGCCAGGCAGGGCTGTTTGGGCCGCCTGCTGCGTGCCTGCCTGGCGTTCGAGCGGTGCTCGGCATGTGCACACAAGTGTGTATGACTACAGTACACATCGATGTATGTACCTAGATGTGTGCAGTTGTATGTCTATGTATATCTAGATGTGTGGGCCAAGAGCAGATATTGATAGAAAGAAAGTTTAAGCATAGGTAGAGAGAGAAAGACAGACAGAGAGGGAGAGAGAGGGAGAGGGAGAAGGAAAGGGAGAAGGATAAAGAAAGAGGGCGAGCGAGAACGACAAGGGGAGGCGTAGAAAGAAAGAGAGGGGGGAGAGAAAGAGCGAAACAGCACGAAAGAGAAAGCGAGAAAGAGAGAGAGAGAGAGAGCAAGAACAAGAGCGAGAGAGAGAGATGGAGATAGAGAGAAAACGACGGAGAGAGACAGAGAGACATAGAGAGAGAGAGAGAGATAGAGCTGGAGAAGCAAAGGGAGAGGAACCGCGAAAGGGAGAGAGCCAGAGAGAGAAAGAGAGAGAGAGAGAGACAAGCAACAAGAGAGAAAGAGAGAGCGTGACGGTGCCATCCGCCGTGAGGGGGTAGCCAACGCCTTGCCACAAGAGAGCTCAGGGCCTGCCACAGGGAAGCTCACACGGGGACCTGCTCTTCAGATCAACGAGCAGATCAACGAGCAGCGCTCCAGAAGAAGCACGGTGAAAGACCTAGGGGACCCCGAGCCCTCTCCGACGCCCTTTGGCTGCGCAGTCAACACGTACGACAAAAATCCCGCTATGAGAAATCGAGGGACACGTTTGCCGACGACTTGTGAGCTTCCGAAAATGCCCCAAGGGTTTGAATGCATGAAAACCGCCCCCCGGCCCCCCACATGAGAAACTTTAGACCTAACTATACAGAGCGCCCCCCCCCTGCAGCAGCTGGCAATCGCCTCGCTTTCAGGGTACCTACACTCACGTACATTCGCCATACAGTACTTGCAAGACGTTGACATATCAAATTCATTGCTGTGGCGGCTGCGATCGGCTTCCCACCGTTCAGCGTTCTGCGGGCATCCATGGCCATGGGAGGCAAGACACTTCCGTGGTGCACCTGCTGGGGCGGGCTCTTGTTTGACGCACATCCTGTCGGGTCGGGCGAAAGGGGGGGATAGCAAAGGGGGGGTTTGAGAATCAGCTCACGTAGCTGATTTTCCTGGCGCCTCCCGGCGCCGGAGGCGGCCATGTATCGAGGAATGGGCACCTCGGTGAGGCCGAAACCAGCTGCATGCAGCAAATTTCGTAACCCCCCCTTTCCCAATCCCCCCCTTTCGCCCGGCCCGATCCTGGCAGGAGCTTCTGCTCGGCGTGACGCGGCGGCGGCCCCGGCGACACGCTGCTCCCTGCAAGCTGTCTTAGAGCGTGCCGCCTCGCTCTGCGAGGCGGGGAGCTCGGAGGAGCTCGGGACGTGGACGCCTGGCGACCGGGGCATGCTCGGCGCGTCACGCCGAAGCGCGGTGGGCCAGAACGGGCGGCGAGACGGGCCAGGCAAAGGCTCCTGACCCCGAGATCCGACGTCTCGAAAAAAGATCTCCTGACCCTCAGATCCGACAGCGTGGACAGAAACACGGCGAGAGCCCCGAGCCCCATCTTTCTGCACCGTTTCGGCGGTGCGCACAGGAGGGTGGGGGGGAGGGCTCCTCAGAGTAGAAGGAGGCTGCTTCTTACGGAGGATGCTTCTTAGAAGGCGCCGGCCTTACGTCTATAGATGAGGCCCGCGCCTTCTAAGAAGCAGGGGTGCTTCTGAGAAGCCCTCCCCCCTCCCCCCCTGCACCCCTCTGCGCGTGGCGGACCACTCTTCCAGCCGCATCGGCCTGTGCTGGCCCCCGGGGGCCGACACACGCCGGAGCTCGAGGCTCCAAGAAGACCTCAGGGAGCGTTCCCGACCGCACTGCGCCGCCGCCCGCCTTCGCGAACGCCGACAGTATGCCCGCGACGTCGCGCGGCGCCATCTCCTGAGGGGCAGCGATGAGGGGGGGGGGGAGAGGCCAGGGGAACGTAGGACTCGAGTAAGCCAGAACTCGGGTTTGCGACGCTTGTTGACGAGCGCGTCCTGGATTTTGACGGTCAAGTCTTCGTGGGATGTTTGCAGCAAGAGTTCGCGTCAAACTCCAGATTGGGCCTCGTCATTTTTATGATGGCCCCGTCAGGCCAACCCGAGTCCCCCGTACCCGAGTCTCACGGCTTCCCGAATTGGGATAGGGGGGGAAACATCGACCTGGAATCGGCGATGATACATCGCCGATACATCGGCAATAGGCCTCCGACAGAAAGTCCGCACGTTCCTGGGCAGACTGGGGCTATCGGACACCTATCAGCGATCAATGAGCGATTGAGGGTGGATGCATGCACCACTATGCCTATCCCACCCTATCCTTAGGTCGGGCGTGTCCCCCTACGGGCGCATTTCGGACGCAAAAATAAAAATAGAAAAAAAACTCCCACATAGCCAACAATTGAAAACATCGCCCCCCGACTATTTTGTACTGTTTTTGAATATTCATCCTGTAGAGGGACACGCCCAACTTGACCCAGTCGTTGCCCCCGATCTCCTTCATCCGCTCGGGCCGCAGCGTGTCCTCCTTCACCAGCCTGCGGCGCCCCCTGCCACGAACAAAAAGCGCCAGGTCGGCCCTCGCCCCCCCCGCCCCCCCCACGTTGGGGTGACCCAGCAGGGGGTCCAGCTGAAAGGGGGTGGTGCGACAGGTTCGGGGCACTTGTACTGCAGACGTGTGGCGCCAGAGACTTGTCTTGCAGCGCGTATTGAAACCAGCGTCTTGCACGCGAGAAGCCAGCGATACGTGTGCGCCCTGGGACGTACTGCACGTCCCAAAAATCGATGGCAACCCACCATATAAATCTGTTGCACCAGATCTATGGCACCACCCCCTTTGTATCAGCGGTGGACAAGCCTCCCTTTAGTAAACCACCCTTTTTAGTGAAAACGGCCCAGGACCGAAACCGACGGACCTGGACCCGAAAAAATGACGGCCGCGACGACCTCTCGCGAACCGAAAACGGCCAATTCGCTGATCGACATGTCAGGTAGGAGATCTATCAACCTCCGATTGTAGCTGAACCACCCCCTTTTTGAGTCAACCAGACCCCTACACCTCCCATCGGCAGCGAGCCAAAGTAGAGGGAGTGAGAGGGGGATTGGCCTGCTTTCCACCACCATCACCATAAGTTGGAGGGAGAGAGGGTCCTCCTCCTCCTCCTGTCCTCTTCCTCCTCCTCCTCCTCCTCCACCTCTTCCTCTTCCTCCTGCTCCTCCTCCTCCTCCTCCTCCTCCTCCTCCTCCTCCTCCTCCTCCTCCCCCTCGTTCTCCTCCTCCTCCTCGTCCTCCACCTCCTTCCCCCCTCCAACTTATGGTGGTGGTGGTGGAGAACAGGCCCAACAGAGGGGGCAGGCCTTCTCGGAAGGCTGCCGAGATTCTCCGAAGCCCTCGCGCCTGCTGAGAAGCTTCTACCCTGAGTTCCTGGCGCGTGGCAATTTTCTCACAACGGGGGCTTTCGCTCCATCTCGGGCCCCGGGAGCCTCACAGACCGATGCGGCTCGGAAACTGACGCAAAACGACAGGGGCCGGGGTTTAGGTCGTGATTTTTGCGATGTTGCATTTTGCTTGCAACGGCAGATCTCAGGGTACGCCTTCTCCGAAGACAGAGTCGGCTTCTCAGAATGGAGGGCTGCTGAGAAGCCCGGCCGCCTTCCGAGAAGGCCTGCCCCCTCTCACTTCCCCCCTGGGCTCGCCGCCGATCCCAGTCCTCGTCACCCCCCTGTGAATGTTATGACGACGTGGATCAAAGCGATCGCCGCGTCTGAACGCTCGCGCTGATCAAAAGCGAGAGCACACGCGCGGATACGGTGTACGTACAGGCAGCGCGTGCACAGCAGGAACTGGAAGGGCAAAGCAAGGCGGGAAAGAGGAGAAGCCAGCAAGGGCATAGAGGAGCGCCCCACGGTAAGGTTCCCCGACACCCTCACTATCTACTTCGTCCTGCTCCTCCTGCAGGTCGCAGGCTGACGCCATACATGCCTCTCCTTTGACGCTCCACCCTGAGATCCGACGCTGCAACAAAAAATGCAACATCGCCCAAAAGACACGACCAGAGCCCCAGACCTCATCTTTCTGCATATTTCTTCGAGCCGGATCGATCAATGAGGGCCCGGGGGCCCGAAACCGTGCGGCGACGCCCGTGGTGAACAGATTGCAAAGCCAGGATCTCAGGGCCAGTTGCTAAGTCACGGCACGAGCAAATGGGCATCGTTTATCCGACCCCCATTGCCAGCGGCGTGGCCTGGGTCCCACTGGCCGATTTACCACCCTAGATGGGGATACTGTATACGCCGTTCCCTTCGGGTTTCGAGGGGTGTATCCCCAACTGAGGTGGCAATTTGGGGGGGGGAGGCCTCGAAGGGGATGAGGATGGGGATGGGGGTCGGCTGGACGATACCGACAGTTGCTGCGCCACGGCACGAGCAGATCCGCAAACTAGCACGCAGCAACAGCAGCAGCAGCAGCAGCAGCAGCCGCGCGGGCCACGGGCTGGCCCCCAAGGGAAGCGCGGCCTCGGGGCGGCCGGGAGGCCCCCCGAGGCCAAGAGGAGAGGCGGAGCCCACCGCCATCGCGAGCCCCTCGGGGGGCAGATCGGTGTCCTCCTACAGGGGGACTTTGGACGAAGACATAGAACTAGAATACCCAAACAATGTTCAAACATTGCCGAAATCGATGCATGATTGAAAACTTTTTAAACAATAAGAAAAGCTAGAATCCAAAAAAAAAATAAAACATAAGCAAAACTGAAGAAGAATACGCACAAATGGTCAAACATGATCATAACAATCGTCCCCTGACTATTCTTCTACCTCGAGGGGGGCGAGCCGACGCCTGGGCGGTGGCACGCCCGAGAGCGCCGCCCGGTCGAAAAGCGCTCGGCGGCGCGCGCCACCGCCCAGATCGAGAGCCGCCCCGCTGCGCAGCACGCGGCCCGCAGCGTGCCGACACGGAGCTCAACAGGCAGACGCAGGTCAGGCGTGTCCCCCATACTGACTACCTACCAGACCACCCCAACCCAACCCGAAGACCCGAATTTGACCCGAATTTCGGGATGGGGGGGGGTACGGATACCATGTGTTTTTTCAGCGTTCCCGGACCCCCCCCCCCACTGGAAATGGAAGGCAAACTGGGGGCTTCGGGTTGGGTTGGGGTGGTCTGGTGGGTGGTGACATACAGGGGAATTTGGGGCGAAAAGCAAAAAAAACCCAATCCTATCCCAAGACATGTGCAAACATGGTGCAACAACCGTTCCCAGACGATTGTTGTTGGACTATCTTGGGATGATCCTCCTGTAGAGGGACGGGCCCGACTTAACGGCGGACCGAATGGGCAGGCCTGGCGCGATGCGCTCGCCAGCGCGCGGGCCAGCACGTGCCGGGCCAACACGGACAGCGTGCGGCCACAGACGCCCGGGACACGGCACGTGCTGCGTGTCAAAACGGGCGCAGATCGGGGCGGCCAGTGAGGGGTCACGATGGGGGGGGATGGGCATAGGGGGGGATGCATCGACGTGGAATCGGCGATGCATCGCCGGCAGATCGGCGACAGGGCCACGACAGCGAATCCGCGCCTTCCTGGGCGGGGTTGGGCTATCAGACCCTATCGGCGATCAATGGGCGATTGGGGGTCGATGCATGCCTATCCCCCCCCCATCAGTTGCCCCTGAGCGAAGCCGCCCAGTGGTCGCCCCCCTCCCCCCCCCCCCCCGGGTGGGCTCTCGGTGGTGGTTCTCTCTGGCCCTTCCTCCTCAGGGAAATCTGGGGCCCAAAACCGTGTGGTGACGGACCGCGTGGTGACCGAGGAATTTCCAATGGCCTCGCCGCGCGGTCCGTCACCGCCGCGCGCATGTGGGGCCCTGGAGGCCGCAGTCGCAACAGGCGTCCACGATGAACGAGCCAGAATCCCGAAATCCTTTGCGGCGACCCCGAATCCCCACTGGCTCATCCCGCGGTGCGGTCACCACACCGCTTAGGGGGCCCCCGAGAAAACCGCCGGTCGCTTTTTCAATACGCGGCCCCCGGAAGTCCCAGCTCTTTCCCCAGGCCCCGTTTTTCATCTGGGGTCGTTGCTTGACTGCCCCGACACCCAGCAAGGGCCCCCAGACCCCAGACGACAAAAAAAAACGACAAACCTGCCGTCACAATACATGTAGGACGCGAGCATGTCTGTGTACGTTCCCCCTCGCTGTGAGAAAGACAGTTCTCGTGTGGGGAGGAAGGGGTTGGGAAGATACAGGGTACGACTGTGCAAGAAGCACCTTCAACACACATGCCAATATTGATGATGTGATCGTTTCTCTTGAGGCCCCCTAGATAGGATCCGAGCAGATGGGGTCGGAAGATCGCGCCGCATCGCCAATGCATCGGCGATGCGTCGGCGACGCCTCGGCGACGTCGGCGTGGAGAAAATCGGGCTCCGCATCGAGCCGCATCGTCGACGCATCGGCGATGCGGCGCGATCCTCCGACCCCATCCACTCCGACCCCATCTACCCTGACCTTCCAGTGTGCTAAAAAATAGCCCTCCAGACCTGTGGACCTGCATCTGGACTGCCCAAGCCCTCGACAGGGATTCAGATGTCGAGGCCCTGCGTGCTCTCTGGCCTGGCCTCTCCCAGCCCGGGGAGGTCGTCTTTCTGAGCGCGCCGGCGGCCGATCTTTGCCCCGCCGCCCGGAGATGGTCGAGGCCTGCGCTCCCAGACCCCCGACGCCATGCTCTCTTCACGACGCGGCCTCCATGGTGAGTATCGTTGATCCGACCCCCGTCCCCAGCGACGTGGCCTGGGCCTCACTGGTCGATTTACCCCCCTAGATGGGGATATAGGCCGTTCCCTTCGGGTTTCGAGGGGTGTATCCCCAACTGGGGTGATAATTTGGAAGGGGTCTCGAAGGGGATGGGGATGGGGATGGGGTCGGTTAAACGATACCGACATAGAGGTCCGGACCCATTCCCTGAGACCGCCTTCCCGTCTCCAGAGCCGTTTTGCTGACGGTCCGCAGGCCCAGTTAGGGCCCCCAGGGGCAGAAGATAGCGAAATACTTAAGATACATGAATTCATTAGGGCACACCGCAGCTGTAATCAATTAGGGCACACCGCAGCTGTAATGATATGCGTTATCCTTTGCTATATATATATATATATATATATATATGTATATATATATATATATATATATATATATATATATATATATATATATCATACCCAGCTGTACCCATGATGTAAGTAGCATAGGAGGCTGCGCCCTCTAAGCAGGGGCAGGAAACAGTAAAAAACAACTCCCGTCATGATTTCTGCATGACCCCGAGGGGGTCTGGGACACAGACCCCCGACGTCATGATTTCTTCATTACGCGACCCCCAGAGGTCCCGACCTATTCGCCAGGACCGGTTTTCCATCCTGAGTCGCTTCTTCTCGGCCCTGACGCCTGGGAAGGGCCCCCAGAGGCCGAAAATTGCAAAAAGTCTCCCGTCGTGATTTTGTTCACAGCGCGAGGGGGTCCGGGGTCATGATTTTCCCCGAGGGGGTCTGGGGAGCCGCCGTGCAGCCGCGCGCCGCGGCCGCCGCGGGGCCGCTCCGCGCGCGCCGGGGGGCCCGTACCGCCCCGCTGCCCGCGCTGCGCGGCGAGGCGCCTGCGCGCACCGCGCGGCGCCTGCCCGAAGCCGCAGGGCGTCGCGGAGCGCTCGGGCCGGCGCCTCGACGCCCAGACATCCCCTGAAGTCCCAGACCCCCTGGGGTCACGAAAAAACCACGACGGCGAATTTTCTACATTTTCGGCCCCTGGGGGCCCTCGCCGGCCCTCGGGGCCGTCCAAAAACGACTCAGGATGAAAAACTGGTCCAGGGGAATGGGTCCCGACCTCTGCGGGTCGCGTCATGAAAATCATGACGTCGGGGGTCTGGGGCCCTTGCGTGGCAATTGTTTCACATTGGGCGCTTTCGCTCAAATTCGGGCCCGTGGGACCCTCACCGATCGATCCTGCTCGAAAAATGACGCAGGAAGTGAAAGTCCAGGGCTCCTGTCGTGACTCTAGGCGAGCGATGCTGCGATTTTTTCCAACGTCGGCTCTCAAGGTCTAGGAAAAATCGGCACGGAATCGTTGCGCCGCTCCCAGGCTCGCAAGGGCCCTTATATACTTCGGGGCCGGCAAAAAAACGACGCGGGAGGAAGACCAGGTCCCGGGGAACTGGTCGAGAGGTGGGGGGCCCCTTGAGATCCGACGTTGCCAAAACTTCCAACCTCGCATAACAAATCAGGACGGGAGCCCCGGACATCATCTTCCTGCGCTACTTTTTGACCTGGATCGATGTGTGAGGGTCTTGGGTCCCGAAGCTCTGCAAAAACAGAAAAAACTCGTTCCCCGGTTGAACGACTCGTTCCCCGGCGGAAGTTCGAAGTGTTTTCTCCGTAAGTAGCGGGTTCCGGGGTGTTCTTCTGAAAGGGTTTTCGGCGGCTGCCAAGAAGGTTGAGAGTTCTTGGCGGTCCCCGAGGCGGCCCCCACGAAAGTTCTTGGCGCCCCCCAAGAAGGTGCATGGCGGTCCCCAAGAAGGTTCTTGGCGGCCACTAAGAGGGTTTTTGGCGGCCCTTGAGAGGGTTCTTGGCGGCCCCTGAGAAGGTCGTTGGCGGCCCCTGAGAGGGCCACTGGGGGCCCCTGAAAAAAAATCTTGGCGGCTTCTGGGAAGGTTTTTGGCGGCGCCTGAGAGGGTCCTTGGCGGCCCCTCAGAGAGTTCTTGACGGCCCCTGAGAGGGTCGTTGGCGGCCCCTCAGAGAGTTCTTGACGGCCCCTGAGAGGGTCGTTGGCAGCCCCTGACAGAGTTCTTGGCGGCCCCTGGGAAGGTTTGTGGCTTCTGAGAGGGTCGTTGGCGGGGCGCTGAGAAGGTTTTTGGCGGCCCCCCAGAAGGTTCTCGGCGGCCCCAAAGACGGTTCTTGGCGGCCCGTGAGAAGGTTTTTGGCGGCCCCCAGGAAGGCTCTTGGTGGCACCCAAAAAGTTCTTGGCGGCCTCCAAGAAGGTTCTTGGCGGCCCCTGAGACTCAGAGGTTTGATGGGCGGCCCCTGGGACGCCTCTTGGCGGCCCCTGAGAAGGTTCTTGGCAGCCCTTGAAAGGGTTCTTGACGACTCCTGAAAGGCCTCTTGACGGCCCCTGTGACGACTCTTGGCGGCGTATGAAAGAAAAAAAAAGTTGTGGCTGTCCCTGAGAGGGTGCTGGGGCCCTAAGAGGGTGTTGGGCGGCCTTTGAAACAGCTTTTTGGCGGCTCCTGAATGTGCTGGGCGGCATCTGAAAGCGTTCTGAAAAGGTTTCGTTGGATCTTGGAGGCCCCTGAGAGGCCTCCTGGCGGCTCCTGACAAGCCTCTCGGCGGCCCCTTAGAGGCCTCCTGACGGCCCGTTGAAGGTCTTTGGCGGCCTCTGAGAAAGTTGTTGGCGGCCTCTGAACAGGTTTCTGGCTGCGTCTGAAAGGCTTCTTGGCCACCTTCCATCGGAAGCCTTTGGGAGCCCTGAGGAATGCTTCTGAAAGGTCTTCGATAGCCCTCTGAAAGGCCTCTTAGAGTCCTCGTGAGGCCTCTGAAAGCC